TAGCTTTAAATAAATGGATATTGTATTTGATTGTAAGAAATATATTCACTTAAATAAATGTCTTAATTGTATCAAAAACAGTTGAGCAAGAATCGAAAAATATATTTATGAATTATAAAAAATGTAGTTATATTGAACTATTTATTTCAGGCTTTGCAAATATCGTTTTGGTTATAATCAATACAATATGGTAATAAGCTTACATGGTAATTATAATATGTATTTATTTCTTTTCTGAATTCCAGCACAATGTGTGAAGTAGACGTTGAATACTATCCATTTGATGTACAAACATGTGAAATTGTCTACCATGCAACTGGTGAAATCCGCGACGCAGTGCTTCTAAATGGACCAGATTTTGTTCGACATTATAATAATCTTCGGAACTCGGAGTGGCATGTTGTAAAATCATCTGTTACAATTGATTATACATATAATACAAATGTAATTTTTCTTACATTCACTGTACAGAGAAGAGCAAAATTTACAGTGTATACAATGATTATTCCTCTAGCAACACTTGCCTTGGTAAATGTCTTCATATTTCTTGTACCAATTGATTCAGGAGAAAAGGGATCACTGTCTATCACTCTGTTCCTTGCATATGGTTTCTTTGCCACAATTACCAGAGATTCCCTTCCCCATAACTCCACTCAAGTATCCTACTACATTGTCTACGTCACTACCCTCCTTATATTCAGCGTCTTCACCGTTATCTATGTCATTATCGAAAGTAAGATCCACTCTAGCATTGGATCGAGTATGTTAAATATCTCCGAAATGAATTCATATCGATTGGAAACCGCTCATGCGCAGACAAATTCAGTAGAAAAAGATGTAAAGGAAAAGGAGCTTTTGGCCGTCAAAGCCCTGACATGGAATGACGTGCTTAAGAAGGTTGATATTATTATGTTCTTTTTCAGTTTTCTTTCTATAGGTGTTTTCAGCTTGGTTTTATGGATGTACGTCATTCAAAAAACAAAATGTAATCATTAACCCAAACCACGCTGTATATATTACATGAACTTGTAAGGGATCACTTTGTTTCCAGATTTTTATACTTCACAACAGCAGGTGTCAAGTGTTGTGTGGCAGCTGTAAAAAGTTGCCCCGTACTTCACTTCAGTGTTGTTATATTTTTCAGGTCCTTCGGGATCATTGATACCGGCACTATTAAGTGTTGAGAATTGAGTACCGATCAAGCCGGTGCTAGGGGGCATGAGTGATGTTGCACGTATTCATTATCCCTCATGTACAGACTCAATCAAACCGAGTCTGCAATTCTCTTGTAATTTTGTTGTGATTAATGCTTCCGAGGGATAACTTTGTTTCCAGATTTTTTTTGTCCTTCTTTCAATCTGGAAATAGCATTCATAATGTTATTGGCAAATATAAAAATTAATAATGATAGAATAGTGAACACTAGATGGTCTGCTCTGATCGCGTGAAGATTCATTCGCCACTATTAGCATAAGAGCGAAACTACCAGTTTGTTTTAAAATATGATATAGGCTGTTTGTTTAACTGCTTCAAAGTAATGGTTGTTTACAGGAAATTGTGTCTATATGCAACAAGCTTCTACACAACTACACCAAATTAAATTCTGTATAAACTAAAGTGCGACTTATAACAAAACTAATGTCATATTCCAACTTAAGTTTCTGACTATGTTAAGAACAAGCAGACAAATAAAAATAGTCAATAAACGTTTTCATGGAAATAAAACCAAAAATAAGAAAAAATATTAAAAAGCTTAAGAGTTAGGACAAAATATTTCTTTTGGGTTGGTTGGTTCTGTAAGCTAGCTGGATAGCTTCCTCACATATAGGAATCCAAAGTCCCTTTCGGGGTTTAAAGTACCCATTCACCTATACCATTCCGTACGACATGAAATATTGGTGTACATTTTTCACAAACAAAACAACAGACGTGAAAGAATCGATACTTTTTTATTCTTTATTTGGAAGAGGAATCATAGCAATTTTTCTTTGCATCTTAAGTACGCACGGAGTAGTAATACTGTTGTAAAGAAGACAGATAGTCTGTAAAGTACACTATTTTTAATGGTTGTAATTGTTTTGTGTATTATTTTATCTCAGCAGATGATGGGCATATATTTCTGCTCTAAATTTGTACTGATCAAATAAGAAGTCAACACCAGCTTGTAGAGTAAGACAACAACCGTAATATCGCTGTCATTCCTTTCATTTATTAAAGTATACAAAGGAAGGTCTGTAATACTATATGAATTATTATGTTGACAGTATTTGGTATGAGACATAACAACAAACCAAGAAAGAATTATACATGAAAGTTGTTGGCAAGTTTGAGAGACAAGATCTGATATAACATATATCTCTATAGCAGAAAATAAAGTGTTCTAGAACAAGCTGTTATTATTCATCAGCTAAATGTTCATTCTAAATCACAGCAGCATTTTATAAGAAATTCCAAATGATACATTTCTACTTTTTTTTTATCAATATTTGAAACACTAATATTGTAGTCATATCCACTTTAATAGACTCAGTTTGAATAAACATGTTATATACACATAGATTCAAGATGAACAGCATTGCAGTATGCTTGATTTGATAAAAGATTATGTATGAAAAAGTATTCTTAAAATTTCAACAGCCTGGTATTAATCTTTTCCGAAATCATGAATCTAGTAGACACTCGTTGAGAAGAAGATGATGATGATGATGATGATGATGATGATGATGATGATGAATATTTAAATATTCTCAAACTTCCCTAGTGGTCAACAATAATGTTCTTGTAAATTTAATTTCTACAGGTGTCAAAACAAACAATAATAGTGATTATATCCTTCAATTATTAGCGCGACATCGTAACTTAATTAAAATGCATCACGTGATGAGAGCGAACGTTTAGAGATTCCCCATTAGCAATACGTTAACTGGAAAATTATTTTATCACCTGCTACAAAGTTTATGTTTGATTATTATAAATGCGGTGTGAAAATGTCATGTTAACAAAATGTACTTTAAAAATGTTTCAATAACAAGATAAACGTATAGATATCTGTGTTTTGTCTATATTAAAGCAACAACAGACGTTAGGATTTAGAAGTAGCCTACATTAAAACTTAGATGTACAAGCGAATCTTAATGTGTGTATGCTATTATTAATTAAATTCGTAAATCTTCTATTTTGCAAGTTTTGTTTTACAGACCTCCCACGATGTCAAGGACATATTTAAATTTATCACCTGATAATGTGAGTATAATGAACATATGGCGGCCGACAGCGCCTTTTAGAGCCGCGAGAAATTTTACCGCCAGTATATAAAATTTCCCGGGAAAATTTTAAATCCGCGATTTTTTTTTCGAGTTTTTGTGTCACACATCTGTCGTAAAAAGTCGAATTTTACGAAGAAAACCGCGACATTTTGTCTACATACAAAATAGAATAAGCCACGGCAACATATTTTCACTTTACGTAGCCGATTGCGACCATTATAATCCGCGATAGTTTGTTTTGATAATACTTTGTAAAACGTCGAGTTTGGACATTAAGAATTTCTTCGACACTCGCAAAAAATATCGCGGATTTCTTTCTGTTCCTATAGACAAAAATATAGAGTAAAATCATGGACGATACCGGCCACTGGAGTCAAAATGTTCCTGTCTGTTATAGAAAAATGAAAAATATCGAGGATTATACGTTCCCGCGACATTTTGTACGATTTCGGCAGAAAATCGTGGGCTTGTTAGTTGCCGGCGACATTTTATGATAAAACGAGTAAATTTCTCGTTTGAAATGACCGCAACCACCCACTATAGTTAGGGCTAAAACGAAAACAAGGCACTGAGGTAGAATATAATAATATTGTCTTCATCCTGCAAGTGATCAATTTGCACGGAAATACATGTATTGAGAAGGGAAATATGATGATAAATGTAATTTAGAATACGGTATTGATGCTAATGTTGTATTGATCTCGGTTATAATTAAGGTGGCGCGATAGCTCAGTTGGTAAGACCACTGACTGTCACTCCTGAGGTTCCGGGTTCGATCCTGGTAACACCCTTGGGATTTTTCAGAAACACTTTCAGTGTTTCCAACCTAACTTGAGGTTTACTGGTACGAAACCGAGGTATGTATCAGTGCTATACACTAGGCATGTTAAAGAACCAAGGAATCTATTCAATAAGAGCTAGGGACTGGTTCTCGGATTCCCTTGTATTTCATAGCTGTCTCTAGAGTCTGCTGAGGTCATCTTAGAGGCCATATCTTCCAACGAAAGATATCTCAGCAATAACTAAAGTTCCGTCTGCTTTCGAACCTTGTCGCTGGAAAACTACTTAGTAGTAAGAATACCCGTTAATAAATTAAATTTTACTAAATGTCCACTGGATTAATCGGCCATTGGTTTCCATTTGCTATTATAAATAAACGTCTATACTCATGCAAACTAACTATAATTATAACGCACCGAAAATGTGTCCGGTGTCCGTGCTTTACGTCTTTCCAGGTTACCAAATTTTGATGTTTTTATACCAAGGATCTTTATGGAATAAAAAACAATTTTTAAATGGCGTGACTTCGGCAATTTTTTTATGATACATTCACCCCATCCAGTGCCCTAAGTGTTGTTAAAAAGACGTGTTCATTTTTTGTCATGACATATTTTAATCATTCCTAACTAAACTAACTAGACTCTGTTTCTCTTATCAGACAGATTTTGTGTATGTGCGTGGGTATTTAAATGCGTGCGTGAGTGTATGCGTGCGTGCGTGTTCTTTATAGATAATGTTTTAATAACTTATTTTAGAAGAAAGAATATATATTTTGAAATAATATTCTAAGCACTAACATCTTCCCTATGGGCACACTGGCAAGTACCGTCAACGTCAATGACAAGCATCATGCCCTGCGAAGATTAAACAAAAGATCTGATGTAAATATTCCGTCGCTAATTAACATTTCGATGATAAGCATGTATTAGATAAAAGGATATTATAATAATATAAAACAAAGTGCCATCTGCACGTTATTTCAGTATTTAAAAGAGTACAGATGTAGTGTAGAGGTAGTTTGTGAGTGGAAATTGTTGGCCAGGCCAGTGAAAAGGTATAGCTATTTTCAACATAGTTAAAAAGGTTGTTTTCAAAGTGTTATGCTGTTCTTTTATTGTCTTTTTACATCTACATAGTTTTCACTTAAGTTAATTTCTTATTAACTGTTTTGGAATTTATGGAGGGTTCAAGTTCCTTTTTCCATGCATTAACATCTGCAGATCCCCAGGGACGTCATTCATACCCGAGCCAATAGAGCGAGGGAGTCAATTTGTCCGAGGGTATCGGCAGGAATGAATGCACGAAGAAAGTGCATAAGTGCAATTTTTGAATAAAGGCGTACGTCTACAATGATAATCCCGCGTTTTGTTATTTGTATTTTGTATAATTGCAATGATCATGGAACTGCTTTCCGCAAGCTAGTGCAATGTCATTTGACGGTTATATTTTGACAATAAAACTATTGGGGCCGTCATTTCATTAAATTGTATTTAATTAAGTTGCTCCTTGAATCTAGCATAATAAAAAAGCGTTCTATAGCGGCACGTGGTCAAGAGAATCTATCTGTTAATGCATTTTGTTCTTCACCTTTAATTTATGCGCACGTTTTTATGCAAGAATAAACGTGTATGTGTTGGTTTGTTTCAACGTATATAATATGATATTTTTTAAGATATGTACTAAATGTCAATTTTTCAATATAATCAGTATCCTTATACAATATCGTAATTACTGAGAAGACACAATTGATAAAGCTCCTTTTTATTTTGCATTGAATAGATAGAAAATAAGAACTACAGAATCTAATTGGCATTTTTAAAATGCGAGTCATCAGCTTGCTGATTGGTATATTGCTGTTGCTATGTAACGCACGTGCTGAGTGCCCCCATGAGCGTTTAGGTCTGCTTAGATGGTCAGATGATGCCACTTGGGGGTCAGATGGAAAAGTGAGTAGAATTTTATATTAGAGGTTTTAAGATACGAATATTTCTCTCGTTACATGCATAAGATATATCTAAAATCTATGACAATGTAATATCATTTCAAACCAATAACATGATAATCATTTACCTAATATATGAACAACCTGACACGAAACAATCCTAAAACAAGCTTTGATTTTTTTCACATATTATTTTTTTTAAGAAATGTTTGATTTTTATTGCGATTTATTTTTATATGGACCAATTATTTACTAATATATTCATTAAAGTGTGTCGAATCTATTTTTTGAAATTTGAAGCAAAGTCTAAATGTGATATTGACATTTATCTCAGCAAATGAATACATAAATACATACAAATACAGACTTTTGAATTAGTGAGCATGATGTGAGATGTTCTGACCAAAAATATTGATGTATAGAAGCGAGTCTAACATGTATGTAAAGCTTGTGTATGTTATTTTATTGTATGTGTCAACAAAACGTAGGATTATATTGTGTGATATTAAGTTGTTTTTTTTTTCGATAGAACTTTTATCTCTAATGTTAAAAATTCAAGCATGCGCCAGGCAGATATCGTTTATTGCATAAACTACGTCCTTTTCATTCATGTCACCTTTGATCTATTTTTGTCTGTAAAATGAATGACTGAATACCACCGTTACTTTCATGGGCTTGTAACGTTTTGTGAGTAAAGTTATGTATGCATGTATAACAATCTTAATTAAATACAAAGACAAACAATTGTAAACACTAGTAGACAATACAATAGTAGATTAATTTTCTAGTTTGGAACTGAATTTTATCTTTTAATGTCCTAATGTTGAACTGTTCTTGTGCAATTAAATTTTGCATGATTATATAGTATACACATTTTAATGTTATGAAATCTATTTTCTGGAAAGTAATTGATCTCTTGTTTAAATGATGTTCTTGTTCTAAGCTTAGTTATTTTTGAGGATTTTTTTTTGTATTAACAAGCATTTTTGTAATGTCACTAACGATAAAAACATATTTTAAGTTTAAAACAACATCGAGGAAGAAACTGAGTAATGCCAGGTATGATTAGCTTCTTTTGCATTTCACATAATTGTAAGGTATCTTTTATAATCCATAGCCTATAGCTGGAGAAAATGTTGACATTTCTCAGAAAATATTACTGGATACTTCGCCGCCATCTTTGTCTAATATTACAATCCTGCCTAACGGAAGTTTGATTTTTGACCCGGAAGAACAACTGGAGTTGCGCGCAGCGAATATTTTTGTTGAGGGAACAATGGAGATTGGAAGTGAAGACTGTCCTTATGAAGGGCATTTGACGATAACTCTCACAGCTAAAAATCTCATGATACTTTTTACCCCATCTCCCTAAATTACTTCATTCATTCATTCATTCATTCATTCATTCATTCATTCATTCATTCTTTCTTTCATTTCATTTCTTTTCGTTCATTCATTCGATCGTCCGTTCGATCGATCGATCGATCTATCGATCGATCAAACGATCAATCAATCAATCAATCAGTCATTCAGCTGATCTATCAATTGAATTATTGGTCTGTAGAAGAATTTATTTCTTATCTGTTAATCAATTGTATTTTTTGTTGAAGGAAATCGTGAAGAACATCTTTTTGAGAAGAATGGCAAAGCGATTTTAGTAAAATCAGGTGGTACATTAGAAATACACGGCAAACCTCGTCTGTCATGGACTAAAATCAGCAAGACCTTAGTGCTCCCACAGGACAACGGAGATATTTTCTTTGAGCACAAGGTAAGCAAAAAATTCTATAAAGTTTAAAGTCACTGCAAGGTTTAAAGTCTCCTGCATTTGTTCCTGCAAATGATTGATATTTGAGACCAACTTTAATTAATGATATTATTTCAGGATACTTTATATAAATATATCTAAATTAACACCTTAGTAAAAATGACATTTTAAGTCCAACTTTCTGTTCGAAGGTACTAAATCTGTAAAAAAATGGAAAAAGTATGATCCTACGGAAGCATTAATGACAACAAGACAACATGAAAATTGCAGACTCGGACTGATTGAATTTATTAGGTAATGGTTAAGTGTAATTTCACTCACGCACCCTAGCACCGACTTAAGCGGTTTTTCAATCCTCAAAACTTACCGGAATCAATGATCCCAAAGACTAGGAAAAATAATGTAACAACACTGAAGTGAAGTACTGGACAACTTTTTGCAGTTCTCACAAGGCACTTGCCACCTGTTGTGAAATATAAAAATCTGAAGAACGTAAACATACTGTATAATTCTTGCTGTTTTAATAATGTTACACTCAGTGAAGATTGGACTTACATACAAACCACATACATTCCAAAGTACCGTTCGTATTCTTTTCAGAACACGGAAGAATACTCCAGTTTTAATGGAGTGGGAATTGTAGCATATACGGTAAAGGTGATTGGTACTGAGGTAACCGTCAAGCAGTTCGGTCTTTACGACATCAGGTCTGAAAGCGAGGCTCTAGCTGCACATATCAATAGTACGTAAAAGAAATATAGTTTAGATGTTACAAAATAATTCGTCTTTCAACATATTGAGTTCAATTAATCGATTTGAAAAGTCGTATAGTAGTTATGTACGTGAAATTGGACTAAGTATTATAGTTGTAGACATGAGTATGATACGTGGCGATACCTTTAAAATACAAACAGTTAAGGAATAAAAATGAAATATCACTATTAAACATTGGCTGATAATATAGTAATTTAAGAATGGAATACATGTAGTACCTTTGACTAGTGTGAACAAAATTCAATTCATTGTCAACGCATTCAACGCACCAACAAGGGAAAAAAACTCATATGTCAAAAAACTCATGTTGAATTAGTTGTAATTGCATATAGGGAGCGCATCCTTTACAGAATGAATCTTTTAGCATCTACACACAGATTGTAGGCATAATTTGCTATGTTACATTGTAAATCTGTAGGACGTTGTACAGCCTTCATTGGACATCTTATAGAAAGATATGTACCTATTAAATTTCAGAATATAGAACAAAAACCTATGTGTTCGTTTCTGTTGTTCTTTTCTGTCTAATGTAAGAATGCAGCAAAATACATAAAATTGTCTTAAGAAAATGAATACTGTGATTGTTTTCTTTTAATACTAACTAATAACGTTGGTGCATTTTCATAAAACTTTAATTTTTGCGTGCAGGCGTTGAAACTGATGATGTTTTAATGATGGCGGGACAGAGGAAAATCCCGACAAAAACAGACGGCACCCAGAACGAGGCTGCATATGAAGCTCTTGAAGCACTTGTAAATGGGGAGGTCACCGGAACAGCTATTTTACGATCCGTTGCACCAGATGGCGCCACATGGGCATTTGTCTACAAGAAAGGTATTGCCGAATCATTAAATGTAAAATTTCAGTTTCTGGATGAGTCCATGAAGACTGTTTTTTGGAAATATCTGTCGATTGCCTCAATTCTTAATTTTATTATTACAATATCGAATAAGTGGCGTTTCGAATAATGAAAATCAATAAATCCATTTCAAGTAGAGATGATTACAAATTGTTGTAATGTATTAAGCGTATTCATAGAAAGTTAAACTAATCTTCAAATAAGGGATTAAAATTCATCAAATATAGCTCTGCAGTGAATGCAAAATTTAAATTCTTAAATTTAAATACATGTAAGTTGTTTTATTGACGAAAAACTGACAACATAGAAAACGACAGGATTTAGAAAATGTTCTTATTATGGTTACATGATCGGGCGATTGCCAACTTCCAATTATAAATAGTTGTATCATAGTTTGGACACTTTCTGTAGAAAAAGTGTCACATTTAAATCGTATACATATACATGCACAGTGCGGTAACTGGAGTGCGGGTATCAGTTACCCGCACTCCAGATAATGCCCGTTGATTGGTTCATTTTTGCTGGGGTTTACATATTGTGACGGCAGAGAAATTGAAAAGGGCAGAAATATCATATTCAAATGCTCGTTCATGGGTTAAGTTTTTCCTGGGTTTCATTTTATGTACAACAGGGAACGTGCTGTCATGTTTGACCATGATACAAAAGAGAAAGAACACCAAAACACTCGGCAATCTGATTTTATACTCGGGGGCTACGCCCCCTCGTAAACGACAGGATTTAGAAAATGTTCTTATTATGGTAACATGGTTGGGCGATTGCCAACTTCCAATTATAAATAGATAGCTTCGTCATAAAATTTCAGTCGACTCAATTTTATGTAGAAGTCCACTTTAATTCACCACTATATGATTTGTAGATCAATAAATGTAGCCATAGATTTTTTGCTTTATTCTTACACAATTTAGGTGCCCCTGACAGTTATGACGAAAAAACCAATGTATTTGGAACGTCCTCCACTGCACAGTATTTTGAAAGCAATGATTTGATATTCACAGTCGACTCTATTGGAGCCTCGTCCATATTTAGCCAAACGGTCAACTTTCGTGTAATGAATATAAACGCAGTTCATCAAATGGTGGACGTCATTGATGACGTAACAACATGGCATCCAGGTTTGTTCCGTGATATTCGAAAAAATGTTAAAAATCTTCGAAAAAATGACGGAGTTTGTTCAATCTGACTAAAGTTCAAAGCTTCTAGCCTTTTAAATGTAAAGCATAGCGATATTAAGGAGACTCTTTAAAATAGGTTGGAGATTGTTTGGAGTACATCTATCAAGTTATATAAAATAGATTTTATTTTAATTTTCTGTCACAATCAAGCAAGTCAAGTCAAGTAAATTGAAGTTTACAATGCTTTTACAACGCCTCTCAAATTAGGCTGTTTTTGTTCATTGTTTATAAACGAATGACTTTAACTCACGTGTCTATTGTTAAGAACTTTGTTTGGTCAAAACAATGATTGCTTTCTTCTGGTTTTCTTATTTAGCGTAACGCGTCTATTGACTTTGATTTTCAGGTGACAGAGTAATGATAGCGTCCACTGACTATGACTGGCAGCAAGCGGAGGAACGTGAAATTGTTTTCTGTCCTGAATGTAACAACTTTCAGATTCGGATAAACGGTGATGCTTTATACTTTTTGCTTTTTTGAAAACCTGTACAGAACACAAAGACCGTTTAATTATGCAGAAATTATAAGACAAGCTTTCGGATGTCCGGGATTCTACTCAGGTGCTCGCTCGTTTTCTACATATTACACGGCGGAACGCCTGAGGTTTACCTCCAAGAACAAAGCTAGTTTAACCAAATAGGTTAAGTCTTCATTCAGCATTAACATAATTATGTAATAAATAATTATTTATCATATTTTGAAAGTAAGAAAGGTTGCAGGAGATATTGTTCTTTGTTCAAAACTCAATAAAGTTGTTTTGCATTTAATGTATTATTTTGGTCGGTATATGGACTTTGCTGCCCACTTAAAATACTAGTTGAAATTTTAGAAACATTCAACAACTTCATTTTTCTATTAAAAAGAGCCCGTCAACTTTGTACATTATGGTAAGGTACTGCACAACGCCATCGACATGCGCGCCGAAATTGCCCTCATTAACCGAAAAGTAGTAATTCGTGCTGAAATGGAACCAACTTGCATTGAAATCAACGGTAATTGTGGAGAAGTCGATGACAAAGATACATTTGGAGGACATGTTAAGGTAATCTTATGTTTAAGCCGGTGGCGATGAGCCTTTTCCATCGGTATACAGCCACACAAGCTTGGGTCTGACAAACAAAGAACGTCCAAAACGGACAAATTGAAAATTTTGCAGAATTGGTTTGATTAAGCATCTGCACCTAAGAGCAAAGAGGTACCGTCCATGACCCCTAGCACCGGTTTAAGCAGTATGCAACATTTTATCAGGAAAGTGGTGAAATTGTGAATTTGAAAAACAACCATAGATGTGTTTGTAACTTTGAATGAACTGATCTAAATTCATAGCAATGCAAATGCAAATCCATTACAAAACAAAAAATGCAGGTTGTGGGTCAATATCATACTGCTGTTTGAAGTCTTTGTATATACCCTGTCTAAATAAAACACGGGAATGTTTTTATGTGTGCCATTTTGAAACAGAACCAGAAACGCACAACCATTGCAGGCAAAAATCCAAATGATAGCTTTAAATAATATAACGGTCCTTTCTCATAAAATATACTCATTACATATTTTCAGTCGGACTTCTCTTTTCAAATAACCTGAATTGATTTTCCTCATCTGATAGAGATAACATTTATTTTCTAGGCATTATATGGTTTCAAAGATGTCCACATAGAAAATATTGAACTTTACAATATGGGACAACAGACAGATCTAGGACGTTATCCTATTCATTTTCACATGTGTCTTGGAAGAGAGTCTGAGCAATCCCAGCCATTTGTCAAAGGTTGTTCTATACACGACACATTTGCACGATGCATCACCGTCCATGGAACACACGGTGTTCTGGTAAAATTTTCATTCTTTAAAATGTTTTAAATTCTTCAACTCTACTGCGGCAAATGAGAAACATATATATGTACATTTTACATTTTATGTACATCGAAAAAATAAATTGTTTATAATTTAACCAGGGATTTAAAATATGAAATACATATTAAGTGACAATTATTAACAAATTTGGCAGTCTCCTTCCACACGCATACGAACGCGGTGCACAAACACGAGTAAGTTGTATGGTCTGATCAGGGTAATTCCATGTTTCTTGCTCTTGGTATTTTAATTCCATGGTTCTTTACAGGTTGCAGACAATGTGTGTATCAACCATATAGGCCATGGTTATTTCCTAGAAGACGGTGGTGAAATGAACAATACATTTGATGGTAACTTAGCAATGAATACAAGAAAAGGCACGGGCTCTCTTGAGCCGGTTGATTTGAGGTACGTTTAATGTAAGATTTGACTGGAGTTCTTTTAATAAGACAGGGTTAAAAGAGAAGATATTTATCTATATTATTCAATGCCTGATAATGTATTGAGGAAAGTGATTGCTGACTTCGTATCGATCGTAATAACTTTGAAGTATCGATAGTTTTCATACCTTCATGGATTTTATAACCTCAAGACTGAAATTTGTTATTCAATCTAGTCACGCTGGTCACGGGTTTGTATAAATAAGAATATTGTATATGGAGTTAGTAATAACAGTACTATTACTTGGTGTTAAGATATAGAGCCAACTTAATAAATATCTTGAGCCTAAGTTGTAAAAAAAGAAAGAAACAGGCCTACATCTTGGCCTACAACTTGGCAATCAATTCACCCATTGAAAATACACCTGATCCGTTATTACTACACATGCCTAACTCAAGTCAAATTCTTATTAATGTTATGCCATTGTTCCCTGCCGGGATGATGACGTTAAATGTAATTCTGCAATTCTCGTAGCTTGGCAGATTATGTAATATATTGTTTTGCAGCCGCCCAGCTGGTTTCTGGTTTACGAATCCGAACAACTATTTTCGAAATAACCATGCAGCCGGCGGAGAAGGAAATGGGATATGGATAATATTTCCAGACGAACCTTTACCACCTTCCAGACAATTTAATCTCATGGGTTATAGGGAAGCCACAAGGACTAATTTACTGGAGTTCACCAACAATGTCGCACATTCACAAGCACAAGTTAGTTTCAAGTTAAATTATGTTTGTTATAAGGGGGAGGACGGCCAATGATTGAGATGTCTGCCTCTCAACCAATAGATCGTAGGTTCGACCCCCTATTTGGATCCATACAATATTTCCTCATATGCCATCAGTACTGGTAAATTCCAGGAAGGGGACTCAAAAATGATTAATATAAGTTTCAGGAACGTGTTTCACAATCGTGCTAAATTAATAGTGTTAAAATTTGATAAGTTAGATTTGGCCCGGGTTGTATTATGCATTCATGTTAGTTGGCCTTAAAAACCTGTACTGACATTCAACGTACTGACAGGTAAATATCTTTTTTTATTTAAGATGGGAATAATGATTGGAAATAGACTTGAAGACAATCGGGATTCGCGCTGTTGTAACATATGGCAACCACTTGCCGACCCAAAAGATGAGTCTTCAGATCCAGTCTTTGCTAATATTGAGTATTTAACAGGTAAGTTCATAATCTTAAATTCTATTCTGGCAAATTTATCACATGTTTAGGACCATAACTTCATAGTGAGATTTGCCTGTATAACTTAGGAAATATGTAAAAATGTAGATGAAAATCAGTTTAATTTTTATGAAGAGATTTTATCCAGACAAACGCACGTTTTCAAACAATAATCATGACTACAAACACATATAATTTTGTTTAACTGTTATTTAATTTAGGGTATAAGAACAAACAATTCAACATTTGGATTGAAGGTGGTACCGTGAATGTTTCCAAAATATCGTAAGTAATTCGCTTAAGTTTTCTTATTTTGTTACAGACTTTTTTATGATATTAGCTTTAAGTGTGTGTGTGTATCGGGGGGGGGGGAGAAAATATGAAGGATAGATAATATAGGTTTTGACGAAACTCATTTCTTAATTATACAAGCATCTAACCATTGCTGCTTGGTTGCTAAGGTTTGCATTGTATTTTGGTCAGTTGATATTCTTAAATGAAAAAAAGTCAATTATAGAAAATTGAACACTTACGATATTTTTGTTTGTGAAACACTTTTTCGACTTTTATTGTCTTAATTATGTTTACATATGAGCCGCGTCACGACAAAACCAACATAGTGCGTTTGTGACCAGCATGGATCCAGACCCTGCGCAGCCGCGCAGTCTGATCAGGATCCATGCTGTTCGCTTACCAACCCTATTACAAGTAGAGAAACTTATAGCGAACAGCATGGATCCTGATCAGACTGCGCGGATGCGCAGGCTGGTCTGGATCCATGCCGGTCGCAAACGCACTATGTTGGTTTTGTCTTGACGCGGCTCATATCATTATTTCAGAGTTGCCGACAGTACTAACGGAATTATGGTGACAAAGTAAGGAACTTTAATATGAAGTCTTCGAATAAAGTAGTTCGAACAATAGATAGTACTCAATTTTTACAACATTTACCTTCCTTGTCAAATGTAGAGGCCATTTTGAGGTTCAACATTCTATATAGTAATTATAATAGACAAATTTAGGTGAAATGTCGAACTCTTTTATGTTTGTAAAAGAAAATGTTATAAAAGCACTTATATCTGTAAGATTATTTTCATCTTACTTTAACATCATAAAATTATGTAAGATTTTTTTTTATCTTACTTGTATTGGGGATGACTCTCGAAATTGCTGCCAGGGGAGGTAATTATAGCTGTACGTATTGTTAATAGTGGCAAAATAACATCTTGCCATAAATGTAGTTAAAAGAAGCCAAATGTAAACGAAAAGCTGCTATTGATACAACACAATGTAATAGTGTCGCCACGGTAATCAGGTCCTATGCAAATTGTAAACCGTCGTTCATCAAAAATCGTTTCTTTTTGTTCTTAATATCGTCCTCTTATTGAAAGTAACTACATTTTTTAAAGGAAGTTACTAAGGTCCATAGGCTTAAAGACGTTAAATTGGAATTTCTTATATAGATCAGCTGGGGCACTTAAAACCGAAAGATATATAAAAAAAGATAACTTAGCTAGAACTATACTTTAACTAAAATAAATTGAAAATCATATGTTCTTCTTTTCGTTTTTACGCTTTGCACTTTTGGGTAATGTTTTCACAATTGGAATAATTATTCTGGAAAAAAGAAGTCAGCGAATTATCTGATATTTTGGTCTAGACCTACAAATGGAACATTAGTCTTGAAAAATAATTTCCAGTCACGTCATGTAGAAAAAAAACTCAGTGGAGTCTCTTTAATTATTTGGTAATTATTTTATTTCATCAGTGAAGGGCAACAAGACAAACTAACTGGGCGATTAAGTTACGCAGTTGTAATTGGTGATAGTGAAAATGTCGGTGTGCCTGACGACGTTATTGGCAGAAGTTTACCCTTCCCCGGAAATAGGTCAGATACATTTTACAATAGGTTTTTTTTTTCGTTAAAAATGGAGTAAGATACAATTTTAGAACAAATAAATATGATGGTAATTCAACACAATGTGGCAAACACAAAAATAATTGTAAAACTCAATATAATTGTTTTATTTTAATCTACCACTAGTAGTGAATGTCCAGGAATTTATTTGCCATATAATATCATAAGTTGAAGTATGAGTTGCACATTAAGTCACATAAATAAATACTTTTTTTTAAGAAAGGGCAAACATGCATTTCATAATGTTGTAATAATGGACAGAAGACATTTTAGATACTTATCACTTGCAAACAAATAGCCCTGAATGTGAAAAATATTTCTGATTGAGGTAGCAAAATGTAATCAAAGTAGCATTTTAGCGTTCATACAAAATACCCAATCTATAAGTGCACCTAGCTCCATTTTTAAACTAATGAGTTACACCTTGGAAACTGGAACAGGACATAGAAAATGAAAAGCTTTTATGTATATGAAAATATTATACCATTTCTAATGTTCAACGGTCCTTTAAAATGATTTTATATCTGAAAAAAGACGGATCCAAACATTTAAAGCAACATGCCTCCAAATTCATGCTACTTTTCATGAAAATTTTGAAAATGTATTTAAAAGAAAAGTTTTATGTGAACAAAGAAAATAATTTACACATTGCAAACGGCACTTACATTCCATTGTAATTACTAAAAAGAGGTCAAAACATGCAAACATAACCTTTACTGCGTAAGTCACGTAAAATATGTAAAAATAATTTGCATTAATTAATATGGTTACAAATAATGCAAATTATTTTTACCTTTCCTTAAATGTTAGTACATTTTTCTCAACTTTGATTTTCTTGAAATAGTTTGGTTCATCTGCAGGCTGGCAGCTTTAAAACAAACAAATTAATATCGTGTTTTCTTTAAAAAATTGTATTGTCTTCGTTATTCCTTGTCTCGTTTTTTCTTTCAAACTTATGTATTTTTGTTCCCCAGTGAAGAACCTCATTCTGGAATAACAATGTGGAAAGGACCAACCCAGTTTAGCAATATATGGTTTGACGGTTTCCATCCTAACAACTATTACGACATTGCCGCCATTGCTAAGAAACGGAAGTCGCCCTACTTTTTCTCAGTGACAACCTCGTTCAAGAATTTGTCGTTTGCTTTTGATGACGCTGTATGTATCGGAACCAGTGTTTATTTATTTTTATTTTTTGCCAGATCAGACCCCATTGTTTTTTTCATTATTGACCTTTATCAATTTTATTATCATTTAACTTGAAATCATTTTAAATGATTAATTTTATTTTAAGTTTATGATATATTATTGTTCATACACTTGTTGACATGTGACAACATTATTATACAGGCGGAAGTAGGAACGTATGCAATTTCCGGTACAAAGACCGATCCAGGTTGGGAGAAAAATAAAGATGGCGAATTGGTATCGGGTTTCACCTGGTACAGAAATACAACAAACGGTGTCGAAAAATGGTATGTTGTGAAACCAGATGCATTCTCGGCTGCGGCATCAGACTGCGTTCTTCGGCCACATTGGAGATTGGCTTTGTCTAAGAAAAAATACGGAAATGTAAGCCTTTATTGATGTATCGCCCCCGTTAATGTTTGATCGTCAATAGTTTTATAATATCAAATATTCTATTAAAAAGATCTCTTTAGTCGGGTACATTTTTAATTCAAGTTTAAAAACAATTCTACGTTGTTTCTAAAAGTGTATCTTTTATTTGTTCCAAAGCTCCGAGTCCACCACAAATCTTTTGATGTAAATTCCCGCGGAATATTTGTACGAGACGATTACCCTGGTGCCCAGCTCAAGTTCATGTTTGAAAAGAAGACCGGGCCACAGGTTGTCATTGATGGTAGTAGAACATACACGTTTCATATAACTGGAATTGTTCCAGACTGGTTGAAATTTACAGCTGAGGGAATTGAAATGTAAGGATTGATTGCAGAGATGTTAAGGCATACCATTCATTAGTTGCTATTTTAAAACGTTTGGTCTAAGAATGAGCTTAGAAGGAATAAAATATCTTAATTAGTTTTTCATTATTCTGAGATATAGAGTGATATCTTATTGGTAATTTTATTTTTTTTTTAAAAAGAATGATAACATTAATTTAGAAAACCTTTGACTTGAATGATTATGTCAGGGCATTGTTATTTTGCACAAAGAAAGCTTTTCATTATTTATATGTATCGGATTGATGTGTAGTTTGTCCTTTGACTAGATGGTTAGGAAGATAATAGAGTTAAACAACACTTATTGACTGTTATATATTTGATCCTTAGGCATAATGTAATATTAATACGTTTAATAACTCGTAAGTACCTCAGAGTAACTGTCATCCGTGTCTGTTTTATACAGGTTTGTTATCCAATATCGTAACTTTAGAACACAATTTCATTTATTGTATGCATACATTTATAAATTTACTATGCAATTTGGTGCGACAGGGGTGATATTTTACGATTCGGAGTGTGTATTCCAAGCGGTGCAACCTGGACTATAGAAAGCCCGTTCCCAGACCTCTTAAAAACAGTTGACGATTTTTTAGAAGTCGGCTCTCTTTCTGAACTTGATTTGTCAGATCCAGTAAATGATGGAAAGAAATATTTCTACAACAGCACTACAAGGTAAACCATTACCATCATCGTCGTCATCATCATTAATATCATTATTATCCTACAGTGAATGCCGTATTTGCAATACCACATTATTGTGCATATTTGATACACTTAAGGGGGAAAAGTTTATGTAGGTTTTAAAAATACGTTCCTGATTTTCTCTGCTTGATTTGTAAATTCAAACATGTTCTCATATTTCAAACTTACATGTCGCAGCAAATATCCAATGGGAAAATCAAAATAGGAGAATGTACTATTTGTGTCCAAGGTTCTATGGCCATATAACCTCGTGTTACTGAATACAGCAACAACAACAGTAGGGTATCAAAACCAGAGTTTTAGTTACTCATATATAGCTAGCTCTATGTCTTTTCTAGCTAAGTTGTTGTCAATAAAACAAAGGCTCGTGCCAAAAATGTATGTACACTTCTGTATTACAAAGGCTAATTTTAATGTCCTATTTGTCTAATCAGCAAGGTAGTCACGTGGAAATAACGTATAGTTTTATGTCATCAAAAACAACATAAAATAGATAAATACAGAATCCCTAAAGAAAGCCCAACACGGCAAAATTGAAAATGTTGCGGGCTCGGTTTGATTGAGCCTGTTCATGGACGGTACTGGAAAGTGCAAGTTACCGTCCACGCCCCCTAGCACCGGCTTAAGCAGAATTCAACATTTAAACATGCAATAGTAAAATTTTGAATTTAGAAACATCCGCAGATGTGTTCATACAGCGGTTATCATGGAACCTTCAATGTGACACTTCCGTGCCATTCCATGAAAAGCGGCGTATGGTCCCCAAGTAATAAAAAGTGTGTGCCTTATGTCCAGACACATGATTTTATGTCATCAAAAACAACATAAAAGTGGAGCTTTTATGTCCCGACTCAAATTTCTACTTCTTACAATAATACTGCTCATGCAACTCTTCTGAAACTTCATCAGTTGTTTTGACCCGTTCTTACTCATGTAACACTGCTATAAAACGCTGCTCACGATAGGTTAGGTTAGGTTTTATGTCGCACCAACACTGCATAAATCATATGGCGACATTCTAGCTGTATTGGTGGAGGTAGACCTCAGGTGCCTCTCCGTGATTATTTCAGGCACGAACGGGCACATGAGTAGAATCACCGCTGCACTCAATTTATTGATTAATATGCTTGAAATTGTTAGTCGATTTCACAAATAAGTTTCATCTCCAAGGGGCAGGACGTGAAGTGGTTGCACACTTGGTTCAAGCGAGCGAATTGGTTGCAAACTTGACAAAATGGCGAACACGGCGTGATTTTTTGAAACGGGTCAACGAATTTTTGCCAGGCAAGTGGGTTTCTTTGATATTTTGAAGTTCATTAGTATGTCTATTCCATAATGCAATATATATGCCACACTCGGTTAAAGGTTTCAGCATCCTAGATTCTGTTTTGACTGAGTTATTGAAGATATAAATTGATCATGATGATATTTTGAATTTGACATGTGACTGTTCTGGTCGGTTTTTCTCCTAATTTATTCGAATTTGTAAGTTTTGAACTGCATTTAACAATAACAAAATATGTTTCTGTCAATGCTGTACAAATGGTTTAGTTCGCAAGTCTGAAGATAACGTTCAATACACAAAAATATCTTGTTCAAGCACATTTTGGTTGCAGACTTATACTTCAAGCATTTTTGGTTGCAAACTTATTCTTATTCTATTGAAATCCATAGAGGAGTGTAGAAGACCTATTTTCAATGGTAATTATTGACATTTATGTTCTGTTACTTGTGTTTTGTTATAAATGTTATTTATACTTTCTTCTTTTACAACAATTATGCACTTTATGTTTCAAATTACATGGTTCTCAGTTCAATACTATAATCATCAGTAAAAGCCTGCAAACAAAATAATAGCATATAGAAAAATATTTATTGATACTTCAATTCTAAAATATGTCATCATATGTAAAATGCAAATGAAAACTACATACAAAACAAACGTATGTGAGAGTACTGTTGTATGTAAGTGAATTATTTTCATCATAAACATAAGGACATGTGCACACATACGATGTTACTCGGAAAAATTTCCAAAGTTTATCAAAACCACAGGAAATGTTAATTTGTTTGTTTCGTATGTCCAGCAGTTCCTTAAGACATAAATTATGTAAATGTACTTTAAATATTTTTACAAACCAAAAGTTAAAATGACATGCTTCGTCACAATATTTCGGATTTGATGAACATCATATGTCATTTGGTCTTCTAAGTATATGTTAGTGTTCATCCGTGCTGTTCTACAGAAATTAGAAACTTCGACGGGAGCGATAGCGACAGGAGAATGTTTCTAATTTCTGTAGAACAGCACGGATGAATACTAACATATTTAGTGTCAAGCTTTATTTGGCCTCATTATCATTCACTTTATTACGTCACTATGCGGTTTTATGAAGTACTATGAAAAATAGAAGTCGACTATGGACGGAATTCGATATAGTATCGACTTTTGTACTTCTATGAAAATTAACGCACAGCGTTTTCATTGGATGACAAATAAAGTTGGACACTAAAGATGATTTTGATTATCAGATCATAATATAAATGATATACGATTGGTTATTTACATTGACTGATACGTGACAAAACTACTTAAAGTCATTGTTCGAGTTAGGGAATTTTGGAAGATGTTTCGATTGGTCAATAATAAGGAACAACTTAAAGAAACATGTGAATAATGCCTTTGTGTCAATGTTAATATAGTTTTTATCTACTATATAATCAAATTTATTTCAAATCTCAAAGAAGAAAAATGATGAAAGTTATTTTTTGCTATTTTTTCTTCTTTTCCTTTACAGTTAGTCATGCCAAGATAAAAAAAGTCCTAAGACTTTGTAAAAAGAAAACAAGTATAACGAGGAGAAAAAATGATGAAGATAAACGCAACTGAACTTCAATTTAGCATATTGTGTTATATATAAGACCCTGTGTTAGGATATATCTGCACGCATGCACAATTTGTATATATATATTTCTTATTAGATGAACGGGTATAATTGCCTTAATATTGCTAATTATTTAAAAAAAAGTATAAGTTATTCCTCGCTTAAAATAGGCATGTCACATTATTGACACAAAAGTTTGCAACCAAAAATGCTTGAAGTATAAGTCTGCAACCAAAATGTGCTTGAACAAGATATTTTTGTGTATTGAACGTTATCTTCGGACTTGCGAACTAAACCATTTGTACAGCATTGACAGAAACATATTTTGTAATTGTTAAATGCAGTTCAAAACTTACAAATTCGAATAAATTAGGAGAAAAACCGACCAGAACAGTCACATGTCAACTTTCAAAATATCATCATGATCAGTTTATATCTTCAATAACTCCGTCAAAACAGAATCTAGGATGCTGAAACCTTTAACCGAGTGTGGCATATATATTGCATTATGGAATAGACATACTAATGAACTTCAAAATAACAAAGAAACCCACTTGCCTGGCAAAAATTCGTTCACCCGTTTCAAAAAATCACGCCGTGTTTGCCATTTTGTTAAGTTTGCAACCAATTCGCTCGCTTGAACCAAGTGTGCAACCACTTCACGTCCTGCCCCTTGATCTCATTATCACTCAAGACTTTGTTATACTTATATGACGAAATACAGGAAGATGCTTCTATATTCTAAATATTGTACTACAAATGTGTAATTCGATATTTAGAAAATTGTACTGAAACAATTAATTGTTACTGTATTTCTAATACTGTATTTCAAGTATGTGCTCTTTTTTAAAATAAATAACACATGTTTATTACTATAAATAGAATAATGTACATGTACCATTTGTTGCTATATTTAGAATGCTGTACTATAAGTTCGTTGGATTTATTAACCGATCAGAAGATGAACTAGATGAATGTGGAGGCGGGAGATGTCCTGAGTTGAGGCTCATCCTGTCTGGTGACCTCAGTGGCGGTGGAGATTGTAGGCAAACACTTTATGGCTCAAGACTGTCCGATCTTCCTGTAGGTCATAATTGACCATTATTATCATTTATAACCTGCTTCGTTTTCTTGATGTTTTCAATGGTGTTTCATTAAGGTAATTAAGGAAGATTCAATGGTGCACAGACAGTCGCAGATTTTAGAAATAAATAAAAAATCTAGTATCAATAACGCCAAACGTATAATTAACGCGATAAGCAATAATTACTAGTGGGCAGTAAATAATGGTTCCTAATTATCTGTGAAAATTTAAATCTACAAATATTTTATTGCATTAAAACAACATGTTCCATAGCAATACATCTTTCAATTTTATACCACACGCTGACCAATAATTTGGTATATTTACAGCCTGCCTTACCAACCTACACAGATGTTATCCCGGCTTCTGGTTACCAGGTCCCCCCTGAGGTTGGTACAAACACACCTATTATATACGACAACATTTAAACACAGAAATCAGGCATATCAAAGATGAAATATCAAACACTTAAAAGAAACACTTCAACAGCTTAAAGTTATGTTAGAAGTATATTGTATTATCGGCAATCTGAGTATTAACGAATACTAGGTATTAAAAAAGACCAAATAAATGTTTATCATTGCTAAAACATTTATCAGCGAGAACACATGGCATTGCAATTTTAAAAAACAATCCTGTGTTTCAGTTTATGGCAGGTTTCCTTCAGGGTGGTTATTTGTTTTCCTAGTAACCTTTACTGGGTTCTTGATTATATTTTGTAAATTTTACTATTAGAATATACGTATACCACTTTCAAATAATGTCATAAAGTGGTCAACCATATCGTTTTAATCCTGATATAACTTTGCATGCTCTTATTTCTAGAATTGATTACATTCATATATAAAAATTGAATTTCGCTTAATCCGCCACAAAAGAAAGTGGAGAGAACCTTACATTTACCACTGATGTCATGCTCAATCAAACACAACATTAGTGGCGACCTGGCCGAGTGTATAACGGGTCGGACTTTGATCTAGGGATTGCTGGTATCGTGGTTTCAAAACCCCGTAAGGGGGGAAGCCGATGTGCCATCAGCAAGAAACTTTACACTCAATGCTTAAGGATGGTTGGTTCCAGGAACGTATTCGAGTGCTTCAGTAAGGTTTAAGCTTCCAAAACACAATCGAATTAAATTAAACTCTGTAAAAAGTAAACTGACTCTGCAATATATATTTGTTTTTATAATTTTGGAGTTAAGAACCACATAAGTTCCTATTGTTACTATTTTAGGGATACGGGGCTGGTTCAGCACGACCTTTTAATAGCCGATCTCCTGTTAATGGGGGTTATGGGCCTTGGACAGACTGGTCGGAATGTTCAGCTTCATGTGATAGTAAGTTAACTCTTTGATGCTTCTATTGATATTTGTGCTTTGAGCATCTGTAAGACTGCGGGACAGATGTTGTACTAATGTTGTTATTATATCTATACTAGTCATACTCTTATCAACTATTCCAACTTTTGTCTTGATTTGTTATAAAGTTTTATTTTATATCCCTGTAACACGTGACATAAGCAACTATCTACTCTTTAACTACAATATAAATTTAGTTTTCCTTTTAATTATAGTTCGATTAATTTTGTTCTAGTTATCTCTGATGTAACTTAATAATAGATCATATCATTGTCATGTTTAGTCTTTACCATGATAAATATCTTTAATGGAATTATCTATCGGTCTATGGACAAAACCGTTCATGGCGATAAGGGAAACATCCAAACTGTACAGACCATGGCAGATGTCTGCATTAAATAAAATTTGCGAGTCTTAAGTCTTTAAAACTTAAAGTTACTTATAAAAGTATTGTAAGTTATATATTGCGTTCTTTAAATTATTGTTTCCTCATTTTATTTTTGCACCTTGCATGAATTTATATGTAATAGAAAGAGCATCGAAACACGAGGCTATCTGAGTTGTACGAAGGGGCGAAGCCCCCGAGAATTAATCAGATGGCAGAGTGTTTTGGTGTTCTTTCTCTTTTGTATCATAGTCAAACATAAAAACACGTTCTCTGTTGTCACAATATGAAACCCCAGAAGAAAAGTCACCAATGAACAAGCAGCTGAATATGAAATTTCTATCGCTTTCCCTTTCTCTGCTGTCACAATAAGTAAACCCCAGCAATACCGGCACTCCAGTTAACGCACTGTGCATGTGTACATGTATGTATACGATTTAACTCTGACATATTTTCAACAGGAAGGTCCCCAGACTATGATACAACTATTTAAACTGAATCCTCCTATATTTGAATATTTCTCATAGTATTGATTTGTAATAATCTACATCCAGGTGGCGTTCAGTATAAAACAAGGGAGTGCAACAGCCCCTTGCCAGAACATGGTGGAAACCCGTGTAGTGGTGATCGTATAATGTCTCGGACTTGTCAAATCCGACCATGTGGTAAGTTGATCTCATTTCAATTCAAATTGTCTGGTGGCATAGATTCTATCCTTATTCCTTAATTCAACACTACTTTTGTTAATGTATCAAATTCTCATAAGATATCGGTTACGTGAGACTTGTTGAAAACATCAGTATACTTGTAAAAGTAATAAAATTATGTCTACAACATTTCATCAACATATAAATTTACATGAACAAGTAAAACGTGTATAGAACGTATGCTGCTCAAACGCTCAGGAAGTTGATACATGGTCACCCGATGGTCACCTGCTTTGAATGTAAAATATATATATATTTTATCAACAATTGGAATTGATAATAATTATGCCGCCTTTTATTTATCGTATGCTTGACAGTAAAATAATAAACTTTTGCACAGCATTGCATTTCAATAATTTACTATAAAATTATTAAAAATTAATGAGAATAAACTTCTCAAGGTCATGATAATAATATTATATCGCTGACAGTTCTTGTCAGTGAGGTGTTATGTATTTTTTACCATTTTATTCCAGACATAGATGGAGAGTTCACTGAATGGAGCCAGTGGGAGGTATGTACCGCCATCACCCAGGATTACTGCGCGGGCAAGACGTTCAGGAGGAGACACTGTTCTAATACCAAACCAATGTATGACGGAACATTCTGTGAAGGAAGTACAAAAGAAGTGAAGCCGTGCGATGTTTGCTAAGCAGCTACATTTAATTTTATCAATTTACCCTACAAATGAATTTGGAAAAAATTGAAATGTTTATATACTTTGAAAAGGTGTCAATTAAAACCGATTGAGAAGTTCAAACATTTGTTCTCGTTTTAATGCGACTGTAAATATCAATAGGATTTATTCCCAAACCCCCCAAAAAATCTTCCTTTTTTTGAAGATTTGAAGATATGCTTGAATCCTTTAACACGCCATTAAACTATGAATCATTATAAACGGAATATAAAAATATCTCTAACTTTTCCTGGAAAAAGAATACTGACCATCTTAATGAAATCAAACAAAATAAGCCATTTTGTAGACACAACATGAAATATGTCGCCTTAAGTAGCTACAACATTTTTATTTTGCAACTTCTATTTACATATTGTTACTTCATCCAACACCACAACGATGCATATAAACATGAACTACTTTTTGTTTGCGCAACTATTTTTCGACTGCGTTGATAAACAATTTGGAAAGTGCTGCTGTTATTTACTTGTTAGGCATAAAACTAAAAGAAGATACATTTGAATATTTATTTCTCATCGAAGAAATAAAATAACCACATCTACAGCGCACTTCTCAAATACAAGTTTCATAAGTTTATTTCAATATTTCATTGGACCAAATGGTCCATAAGGAAAAAACAGAGACATGATAAATGACAAGACAGTGTAAAGCATATACATACAATAACATGTGTAAGTGGAGAAGGCATACACAAGATTGTATATCATCATTGAAAATAAATATCAAGGACATTCAACTTTAAACATAAGACTGAATAAATTACCACAGTCTTGTAAAACTTACGGAGAGGTAAACCGACAAGATACATGTATATATATATAATTTATATTCATTTAGGTAAATAATATAGCAATAGAACGTGCTTCAATTTAAATTATTGAATGAATTTGACAAAAACTCGTATGTATATAATGTATCATATAAATTCATATTTATACTTGTTCGGGTACGTGTATATCATGCTTGCCGAAACAATTTACCAACAAATGGTTATGTTCCTCTTGTGTTTCGATTCGACAAGAACAATATACACGTACTCGAGGAAGTATGAATGAAACAGTGTTATAGATTGACTATTCGTGTAAAACAAATCGATATAAAGTATAATGGAACTTATCAATAATTTCTTATTAATGATATTTATTAATGACCTTAATGTAAAGCGCTGTTGTCATACAATATTAATACAAAAACAAAAACATAATTTATCTTAAATTAACAATAATGCCTATTAATTATTTGTGTATAATCTATTATAATCTATTTTTTTCATAGTGCAAAAGCATTGTTTACATTTTTTCTCATTTACGTATTGTACATGTATTTATAGAATTTCATAACTCTGTAAGTATAGGTTAGTGTTTAATAATATGTATTAACAAAAATAATTGGTCAAGCCTGCCGCAGGCAGGCGACCAATTATTTTTGTTAATGCACATTATTAAACATTAACCTATTTAATGATCAACATTATTTTTTTCAACCAAAAACAAGGCATTGCTCTAAATCGCTGATAGCTCCGCCCTTTCACTCTACAAGATGTCTACACCTTGTCAAGTTTCTAACATGTCACATTTAGATAAGCTAATTAAATGGCCCTTTCAACATATATTATCAGGCCCATTTTTTACTGAAATGTCACCGAATTTATACCGATCGACTATCAATTGTTTCTACGAAATATGTGGAAAAAATGCCAGGAAAATGATGCAATTAGATAAAAAACAATGGAGTTAATAAAATGTGTACATCCTTTTAAAATAAATGGAAAATGTGAGAAAAATACATAAGAGATTATGAATTGATACAAATTCGTTATTGGCTTCAAGTTATTCACTAACATTTAAAATCCCTATTGATTTGCTCATTTGAAAAACAGTTCACTTTTTCATTTTTCTGAGTGTCAATTTAGGTTTACAGGTCCATTTACAATGAGTTTTCCAGCCAAAAAATGTAAACATTGTATTCTTAATGTCAAAGATTGTTTATACAGTTCATTCCTATCAACTGAATTTGGAAAATATAGAGTTAAAAACAGTCAGCAATTTATAACAGACATTTTTCTTAGAGTTAAAAGGATATAAAAAAGTTACTATGTAATCATTGTCTCTGCGTGCCCCACATGTATTGTCTGTGTAATAAATTTGATTGTATCCTCACATTCAGAAACACCTGACCTTTAGAAAAGTAACGTTAGCATTGTTTTGAAAACCTAGATATTTTACAATTCAGAGTGCAAATCACACCTATAACTCCTCCATAATATAATACATTATGGAAATTTGTTAGACTGGTTAGACGACAGATTAAGTGAATTTTATTTAGTTAGTACACATTAACCAAAGTTAGACTAAGCAGAAATTTGAAAAATACTGCAATGTGATTGGACAAAAAATAATGTTGATCATTAAATGTTGGTATATTTGGACATCTCCAGTAATCTGAAACTTTTTTGACAAACTTATTCTCACTTTTTATGTAATAGTTTAACCCAGTATCTATAATAATGTTACAGTAGCGCATTGTTTGGAAAGGTATTCTACCAAGTTCACCACATATAAAGTTATTCTGTGTTTTTTAATCTAACGTGCGTTTACAAAATTGCATATGTAAGATGCTAACTCAAAACAAACAAATACGTAACTTCATTATACGACTAAATTAAACGCCAGGCTATTACCGTTTTGGTAGTAAGTAAAAAGGGAAAATAAAATACTTTAAAAAATACTTGTAAAGATGAAAAAAATCTATTTGCCAATATTAAATAAGGTTTATCTTTTTATGTATTTTTTCATTAACGTTTAGGTATGTCACAGCTGTATCAATTTCGGATTTAATCTTGTTAATTGTTTGGTGCTATGTACTAGATTGTCACTATCAGCCTTAAGCTTTGTACTGTATTTGATGCTTTGTTTCTTTTTCTTCTTGTGTTTTCTATAGATGAAGAACAATTGCAAAAGATAAACATAATGGACATACGAAAATGAGAACAATAACGAAATAAGATAAATGTTAGTTAATGATTTGCGCACACAGGCGCGGAGCTATTTGCGTTTATATCTACCCGATTTTGATCAATTAATCCTAAAATAAATTCGGAAACAAAACATCCTTTCGATTTATATTATGTAAAGTCATATATTGGTTTCCCCTTCGGTGATTCGCAGCATGTCATACTTATGAATGAGAACGGAACAAATTTCACGCCTCGAGGGCCTTAAAAAAGACAAAATAGAAAATAAGCTTAAATTCGGTGCTATATATTCAACATTTGTATTTTCTACTGGAAATGTTTAAATAGTACGCAGTGGGTTATGTATGTATTTTAATAACATGAATTCGAAAGTTATAAATAGATGACCATAACATTGTGAAAATCCGAAAATCTGTTTATAGAAGTAGTTTTAGTTTTGAGTCTGAAATTGTTTTGGAAAAGATAGTTTTAAAATAACTAGTCAGGCAAAATAGACTGCAAAATAATTATACTGATCATAGACTTATATTACTGATCCAATTCGGTTAGAAGTGAACTTACGTAATGAAAAATAATGCGTAGTCTCCCTTCGACATATGAGTTTATTCGACTTGTCTCCCTTTATTATATCATGATACCATTTGACGCGAAACATGTAACGGACATTTTGAAAAATAAAAGTCGATAAAAGTTTTAGTTTTTACTTATTTACATATGGATTATAATATTTCTTACCATGATTATTGGTTGATGTTTGTAGAAAATGAGTAGCAGTATAGGTGAAAAAGAAAATGTACATACAAATGTACATATCTGGCCCCTGCTTACGATAAGTATAATTATGCAAATTTAAATGATTAACAAGACATCCGGAATAGTGTTTAATAGTAATTTAGTTTCTAGTAATAGAAAATGACCTATAAGAGGAATGATTTTGGCAAGTTATCTATAATGAGCGCTTATGTGCGTGGAGCTTCTCAATTGCTGCATTGCAGAAACATTTTGTACTTGTTTTAGTAAGAAGATAGTTTTAAAAATAGGAAATGGAATATAATGGGACACATCATTTCTTTAACAAAAGCGAAGGTATATTTGTTGAAAAGAGAGAGCACAAAACAGTTGACCACTGTTATTCATGTACTGGAATGCGTGGTATTTTTGTCATAATCATTGATATATAGATGTTTTTCAACTGTGCTGTATAAATAGTTTAATATCCATCGTCGATTTGTTTCAAATTACTAATTATTTTTATTAAGAGGTTGCCGATAGTGTTAAAGTTCGACCTTTCGATGGTTATCTGTTGGTATCAAATTGATAGCTGATCAATCCAGGGGCATAAATAAAAATTACACCACACCATTTCAAAATCATTTAATAGAAAATGAGTGTTGGTATCATACGCCAGTTTGCTTAAACAAGTATTTCTCTGTCACACAACTTTTCTTAAAGGGAAAAAAAGAAAATAAAAACACCGTTTAAAATACCCGTTTACAGCGATAACAAATGGCGGCACGTGCGCCTGCTTGGACGAAACAATAACAAAGCGCCAATCTCCAATTGTTTGTCCCGTTATGTTATGTCCCAGAATAATCAAATAAATGAATTTATCTTTCTGATATAATATATTTTATAGGGGATTTAATTATATTTCAAGACAATAATATCATCACTAGATCAACATTGGTTGATAATATTGCTACTTCTGAAGGATTGTAACAACCAGCTGTTATTAATTACGAGCTATTTGTTGTTGTTGTTTTTTATGATAGTATTGTTATTGTATTTGTTTTGCGTGTGATATACAGTGAGAGATAAATTGACATAGATAAAGCACACGAACCATGCGAACCTAGAATATAACATTACAAAGATGACAACAATAATCCTATTTAGACGAACGATGTTTTGATTGTTTTTAACGTCAATTTTACATATTTTTTGTCATCAGTTTGGTCCTCATATCTCGGCAAATCCACCTAACTGGCTTTCCTGGAAAACTTGCCAGTGATTAGAAACAAATGACCATTAGACACAATGGCCTGGATCAATTGTCACATAGAGAGTTCGTCTTACACCAGGA